CCGGCGAGAGGCGCAGCCCGCGGCCCAGGTGATGCTTCTCATTTGCACAGGTGATGTCCAGCAGGGGACAGCGGGGCCAGGAGCAAGCCTGGACGTGGGTGTGCCCAGGACACTGTGAGGAACAGAACAGCCCTCCAGCCAAGACTCCTGTGCACCCCAGGAATGCGCACGGCCCCTTCCTTCCCCTATCCTCAAGGCCCAGATGCCAGCACGCGTGGTTTCCTGGCCACAGAAGCAACGGGCGGGGGTGGGGGGTGAAGGGCTTAGACGTATTTGCTCCACAGGCCCCAAGGACAGACCTCTCAGGTCAAGAGATAGCAGGAGAGGCTCTGGGGTGGGCCCTCTTGCTTCTTCTAGTTTTGGGGTCCCCTGGTGTACTGAGCTGTGGCTGCAGCCCCAGTTTCTGTCCCCATCTGTGTGGCAACTCCTGGTTTACCCCTCCTCGCTGGCTTCGGTAAGGTGCTTGCCACTGGAACTGGGCCGCAGATGCCCATACTGGCCCATTCTGAGGCTCTGGTGGGCTGGATTTGGAGGGACACCAGTACCCAGCGTCCAGACTGCCTGGTACTGCAGCAGCACCCAGAGCAGAGAAAAGGACGGGACCTACTGGTGGGAGCGGGCTTAAGTGGCCCCCGGCGGGTCCAGGGGAGCTCGCTGGTTTGAGCTGGCCAGACAGCTGCATCCCACAGACTGTGGCCTGGTGGACCCCCTTTTAAGGGGAAAACTGAGGTGCGGGGCAACTGAGTAGCCGGCAGGCCTCGGGCACAGTCTGACCTGAGCAGTTGCACACCGTGTGCCGAGACCCCCTGGCCAGTGAGCAGGGACGCGGGCACCAGGCCTGCCTGGTCCAAGCCGCTGCCCCTCGGGGCCGCCGGCACCGCCCACACCAGGCTCATCCCACCAGATGCGGGCTCCTGCCGGTCACCTCTGTGGCACTGGCTTCCAGGCCCGCAGCAGGATGCGCCTGAGGCCCGGGGCGGGGGGGCCACTGCGTTCCCAGAGCACGAAACAGCAGGGCTGAGCCAATGAGCTTCTCACTTGACTTGTGAGACTTTCATTTTCCACCAGCTGCTAGGTGTGGGGACATGAAGTCCACTGACGGGCTGCAGGACACCGACCCTCCCCGGTGCACAGACCGGGCCGCGCAAGCGAGGGCTTCTGGAGCTGTGCCCAGACTGGGAAAGTGGGGCCAGCACTCAGATGCCGCACCACAACACACGGGCTGCAGTGGTGAGGTCTGGGCAGCCCCAACCTCAGACCCAGCTCCCCGGGTGCAGGGCAGTCGCTTCCAGGTGAATCCAAAACAACCCAGACGGGCCCAGCCGCACGTGGGAGCTCTCAGGCCGCTGGGCTGAGTCGCTGGCCAGTCCCCAGCGCAGCCGCAGGTCACGGGCCACTCCAGGGCGCCCCGGACACGAGGCCACAGAGGCGCTGGGGGCTCCTACCTGAGGATATTCAGCCTTTGGCAGGAAGCTGGGGGGCGTGGCCTCGGGGCCGTAGCTGGTGTCCAGGCAGGGCTGGCCGCTGACGATGAAGGAGGCAGAGTTCATTGATGGGCTGGGGAGACACGGGAGAAGGTGAGTGACGCCGGGCAGGGCTGCGCGCTCCCACCTGCACACGGGGCGTGGGGTGAAGTGCGGCTGAGCCCGAACCTCCACACAAGCCCCTGGAGCCACGCAGATGGGGGCCACCCTTCCCCTGGTGGGGAGCCCTGCCTCACACCCCGGGGAGCACGGCTGGCCCACCTGGGGCTGCTGGCTGGAGGAACCAGCGCTCTGGGGGAGGAGAGGAAGGGGGAGGAGAGATGCGCCTGTCCCCCACTTCTGTCCCCAGAGCCCCTGCCCACCATCGTTTTCCTGGGCTCTCATTCTGGAAGTTTCTCCAACAGGGTCTGGGGTTGAACCACACACCTCATGCCAAGCACCCTGGACAGCAGCTCCCAGAGCAGGGGCTGTGGGGACACCTCTCTCCCCAATGCAGATACCTCAAAGAGTCTGGGGAACTAAGAAGGGAGAACCCTCCCTGCTACCGTTCTGCCCCAACTCTCCAGGCCAAAATATCCTTTGCACAGGCCATTCCTTGACCTAGGATGCCCCCGCTGTGCTTGGTCCCCTTTAAACACCCACCTGCCCCTCAAAACCCAGATGGTTGTTACCTAAGGCAAGATGGGGCCTTACCCTTCCACACACGGCGGCGACTTCTCCGGCCCCCAACCCTGCGACCTCTGCCCTTTCTCCCTATGGGTTCTGGCTCAGACAGACACTGGCACTGGTCAGTCTCCCAGTGCCTCTGTGTGGCCAGGCCCCAGCCCAGGGTCCCTGGACAGGACACTGAAGCCCCTGGCTCTAAGCTGTTAACTTCTTCCTGCAGAACTAGAGAGTGGCCAGTCCCCAAGGGCAGCGTGGCGGGCAGCGGGCGGGCAGCAGGCCACCGCAGTCAGGCACTTACGGGCTTTCGCTGGAGAAGGCCGGATACTGCGCGGACTGGAAGGCGTTCCACCACTGGCAGTGCAGCACGGCGTTCTGAAACAGATGCGGCGTCAGCACGGGCCTGCTGGCTGGGCGGGGCTGAGAGCCAGGGCTGGCTGTGGGTGCCAGCCCACCCAGGCCTTCTCAGCGGGTCAGCACTTACTTGCTGTGCCTCAGTTTCACTATCATATAAGAACCCACAGGGTTGTGGTGCCGTGACTCTGGACCACAGGTGGCCCGTCACCCCCGGGGGGCCTGGAAAGCCCAGTCTGCCGTTTCCCGCCTGAGGTCTGGGGCCCGGGAATCTCCTTGGGGGCCAGTCATTCTAGGGTGTGGTGGATGGGACCGACAGAAAGTCAGAAGCTCGAGTCTTTTCCCCCCGTCGCAGAGGGCGGGGGGGGGGCCTTTTCCAAAGGAGGAGTCATGGCAGGCGGGGCGCTGTCACTGCCACCAAGGACGGGCCCCACCGGACAGGTCCTCACTCCCGACCCTGCCGGGTGGCCAGAGGGCCCCAGCCTCAGCAGCGCTCTCCCCAGAGGGGTGGGGAGGGGTTCACGGCATCAGCCACGCCTGGTGGGCTCAAGATCACAGTTCCACTAGGGAGCTGAGGTCAGTGGGATGGCCCGGGCGTCCTTACACTGGAACCCGGCACCACAGACACGGAGAGCCCCACGCTCAGCCGAGGGCTCGAGGCCAGGCAGACAGGCAGGAGGCTGCGGGAGTGACGAGGGTCTGGACCCGGGGTCAGGACAGGTCTGGAGGTGCAATTATGGATGCACGCCTGCAGAGTGGGCCTGCCCAGCAGGGGTCTCCATCCCCAAACTGACCATTGGCCCCTGGCTAGCCCACAGCCGCTCTCGCCCAACTAGGAGGCCCCAGCTGTCACCAGGAGAGGCCCAAGGCTACAGTACTATTCCCGCCTAGCCCGGCTGGCCCCCAGGCGTGACATCGGGTAGCGGCTCCAGGCCCAAGCAAGTCCCGCTGCAGCACTGCCTGCTGCCGGGGAAGGTGCCGGCGCACCCCCCAGGCCAGCCACTTCCTCCGCCCCCAAGACACCAGGAGAGCTGGCCTGGAACCAGAACTTCCTGTCTTCGCTGTCCTTCCATGCCGAGGGAGGAGCCAGCCCTGGCTTCCCATCCCTTGCCCCCTTCCGACCTCCTGCGACATCCTGCAGGCCCTGCGGCCAGACGCCCAGCCGCACAGGGAGAAAGGGAAAGAGACTCCGGGGCCGGCAACTGGCAGAGGCCCTCGGGCCGTTCTGCCCTTGATTGCACGCACAAATATCAAAATAAGGGTGGGGGGAGAAGCGTCGGGCACCCTGTCAGCCAGTGGAGCAAACACTTTCAGGAGTCCTGGTGGACGCCTCTGGAAGGGGGCTGGAAGAGCGGGCTGGGACCTCCTGAAAAGCCCCCACTTCTCCCTAGGGTCCTGATCTAGCGTCACTTCCTCACGCAGGCCCCAGTTTGAAGGAGAGAAATTGAGTTCCAGAAGAACATGAACTTTCCAAGGCCACAAGGTACTTCCGGGACAGTTCGGAGCACAGCTGACTCCAGAGCATGCTGGGCCTTCAGAATGAGGGCCTCACTGATGCAGGGCGAGTCCAGGAGCAGAAGCCGCAGCCAGCCTCAGCCTGCGGGGAGCTGGAGGGCGGTGGACGGGAGTCTGTGTTCCCCCGACCTTCTCTGTCCACATCTGGACCAAGGTCACTCTTGAAGAGCCCCAAGGCCAGGAGCCCCCCAAGGTCCTGTCCCCTTGAGGCCAGGGGGTGAGGGAGGGACAGCTGGGTTACTCCTGACGCTGCCTACCTAGTACCCCACCTTCCTCCCCTTAGCCCTTAACTCTGGGGAGGCTGCTACCAGGATGCCCAGCTCTGCCCCACAAGGGTGCATGGCACCGCCAGTCAGAGCCTCCCTCGGACTTCTCACCGACAGCCAGAGGAGGCCCCGCCTTTGGGGGCAGCCCCAGGACACCCCTGGTCCAGAGATGAGCACCGGGCCCTGGACGGCCTGCACAAGCTTGCCTGAGGTTTCTTTTTGGGTGGAGACAGAGAGGACTCAGGCATGCCTGGGAGAGTGGCCAGAAGCTGCTCCGTGTTACCCAGGTCACGTGTAAGCTGACCTCAGAGGATGGCACTCACGCTAGGGCAGCGGGTGACACAGGGCCGCCACAGGAGACGCCAGACTGCCCAGGAAAGCCAAGATTCCAGTAAAACTTGCAGTGTAAGGACTGCGTGGGGCACACACACTGAAGTATATACATTTATGTTTATGTGAAATTTAAACTGCACTGGACAGCTATCTTTAGTTGCTAAATCAGGCCGCCTAGCAACACTGACACTCCGGGGCACGGACCCTCAGACTCCGACCGGCTCCCCCGGCCTCCTGACCTGGGTCCCCAGGCCAGCCCGCACCGGCCGTGAGCTGGCCCAGGGTCTGTGGACCTGCACGAGGAGCCTTGCTCTGGACTGGCCGTGGTGCGCCCGTGACAGCCGAGCGGCCCTGGGGGGCACCCTGGGAGCCGGGGGGCACCCTGGGAGCTGAGCCCGGCCTGGGTGCACCAGGGCCCCCAGGCCCCAGGGGCTGTCCCGCTCTCAGCAGCGTCTCGCCCACCATAAAGGGCACAGGGCTCAGGGCCCTGGGCACAGCTCCATTCTCAGCAAACTCCCCCCGAGCCCCCGCTCACGTACCCCCAGATCTTCTCCAGCATACCACTACCCTCTCCACTCCGTGAAGGGGGAGAAAGCACTGTGGGACTATTTATAGCTCAGAAAACTGGAGCTGTCCCAAAGGTCCAACAATAGGGACATAATTAAGCAGATTAGCCGAGATGAGGGCTCCCGTGGCGTTATTAAGAATGACAAGTGCACGCTGGAGCTGGTGAAGTGGGGGAGCCAGCCAGGGGAGAGCTCGCTGCGCGAGCTGGGTGGAGCGGGTGGCCGCGGAGGTGCGAGCGGGCTGGGGGCGGCACACAGCCACGTCCTGGACCTCGGCAGAACCACCTCCGTCTTTGAAGCTGGCGGCGGCTCTTCAGTGGTGACCAGTCGCCACCCCACCCCCAATGGAGGCTCACTCTCTAACTTCCCCTTTTCCCCCCTGAGGGTACTGTCTGGTCACAACTGTCAGGAGTGTCTGGGACCCATGTACCCCCCAGCCCCTTTCTGACCTGAGAGGGTGGGTCTGTGTGCCAACCCTATCACTTCTGTGGTCTTGATCTCTGCCATCCACCCCGTCTCCCCAAGCCACGCTTTCTTCTTGTCCCACCCCTGCCCGTCAGGCCCATCCCAGGAGGACAGAGGCTGTATCGGGGCTGTCCTCTGGCTCCTGGCACCCCAATCTCTCCCCTGCCTGCCGTTCTCCCATCAAGAAAGGCTGTTTTTCTTTCTACAGTGGAAAGAGCCCCCCTTTCACCTGAGGAAAGGTGGGCTTCAAGCCAACTCCCTTGAGGGTTCCCGAGCCTGCCCCGGGGGCGCCTCTTGCACCCTGTGATGGGAAGGTCTGGTGGGCACCTATAGTCACTTTACGTCCCGTGGTGCTTCCTCACAACCTGGAAGCGCCCGACGCCTCAGGGCAAACCGTGGCGCGGCTGGATGATGGAGATGTGCTCGCTCAGCACCGAGAAGAAATGAGCTACCAGGACACAGAGACGCAAGGAACCAGGCCCGCCTAGTCCTCTCAGAGCGGGTGAACGGCCAGGTCTGAGCAACCAGTGGCGGCTGGACCCCCTCAAGGGTCCTCCCTGTCGTCCTGGGGCCAAGAGACGCCCTGAGGCGGGAGGCGCATCCCACCCCACCTGACGCCACACCAACCCCAGCCTCACCCACGTCGATGCCAGACCCAGGGCTCACCTGGACGCTGGACCCGCACAGGGTGCTCTCCAAGGCGGGGGGGCTGTACAGGACGCTGCCTGCCGGTGGGGGCTCATGCTGAGGGAACTCCCCGTCCATGGCGGGCCCCACCGTCAGCATTAGTGGCTCCACGACCCGGATGCGTGGGGTCTATCTGGGCTTCTTGCTTCGTGGTGGCGGCATCACAATCTGGGGGGGGGACATGGCACATCCTGAGGGTTCCCCATGACCGCACAGGTTGAGGACACCCCGACGACAAGGGACAGGCCCGAGAAGTGCATGGCTTGCCCAGAGGGAGTGGAGCCACCCACTGGCCCGTGCCACCCTGACGGCCCCTCCCTGGGGCAGCACACCGTAGGTGGGCCAAGGCCCCCCAGTGCTACAGTGAAGTTGGGGTACTCTCTGAGAGGGCCGTCACATCCTCCACTCCAGCGGGAGCAAGGCTGAGCAGCCCTAAGTCACCTCAGGGCCCATGCTGGGTCCCCATGTGTCCAGCCAATACCAGGCTGCCCCTTCTGGGGATACAGGAACTGGACTACTGACGGAGGGCCCCAGCGCCAGCAGGTGGGGCTCCTGACCGCAGAAGCTGGGCGGCAGCAAGGAAAGCACTGAGCTGCAAGCAAGCCCTGCCAGGCCAACCACCACCTGCCGCAGGCCTCGGTCACGGAAAAGGCCGCACTGTGGCGCCTACGGGGCTGTCCCAGCACCCTGAAGGGCCCCCCGGGTGACCGCTGGAGCCGTGGCTTCTTGACGAGGGGCTCTAAGGCCGGAGACAGAGTCCAACCTGGCTGGTTCCGAGCTGGGGGCTCTCACTGGGCCCAGGGGCCAGCCGTGGCCCCCGGCAGCCAGACGGCACTAGGCACCAGCGGGCCAGGGCAGAATTCAGCTAAACCAGAAGGACCCCCAGCGCCCCTCTGAAAACGCGCGGCCTCCCCGGGCAGGCAGACCCAGGTGTGAAGAGGTACAGGGCTGACCTGGTCCCACCTGGGCACCTGGGAATGGTTCCAACCCCTAGGCGGCCCCACCCCACCGGAGAGCGCTCCCAGGCAGGCTCCCTGCTCCTGGGGCGGCTGCTGGGAACTCAGTCGCCCAGGGAGGCAGGAAGGGGAGGCGGCCACCACTCCCAGCCAAGCCCTGTGAAGAAATCCTCGGGACTTCCAGTAATCGCCAGCCTGCACGGGCCCTTGTGCAATTCTGCAGGGGCGGGGAGCGGCTGCCTCTCCCAGCGCTCAGGCTGATGCTGGGCTCCTCGTCCCACTGGACTGGCCACCGGACTGGACCGGCGGCCCAGGAGACAGACAAAGGCCCTGGGCCGGGCCCAGCCCCCTGAGATTGCTGCCAGGGGCCTGTGGGTTCCTGCCCTCCGGCTGCCCCTCTGGCAATATGCCACCTCCCACTGCCCCAGGGCCCATGCACACCGCGCCCTGGGGGGACGGTCAGAAGGGCTGAGGTGGAGCTGGCCCTCCCACGAAAAACAGGGGTGCTGCTGCCTCCCCACCTGGGGCTCCTTTGGGATCAGGACTTGGGGGCCCCCGCAGAGACCGCAGGGCCAGGCGGACGGGGCCAGGCGGACGGGCCCAGCCGCCCAGCCTTCCGAGAGACAACCGGCGCCGGCTCTCCAGCCCCAGCGGGCGCCTCTGAAGAATGGGTCCTTTGGGGGTACAGGGATAACGCCCGGGTCTCTGCCATCTGCTCCGGTGCCGGCTGCCCTGGACGAGGCCCCGGAAAGTCCCCATCAGTGTGACTCCCGCAGCTGGCCAGGACGCAGGCGGGAACAGAGCAGGCTCGCAGCCGACTCTGGGTGGGGAGGAAGCGACGTGCGGGGACTTGCCCCACCCCGGACCTCCCTTTAAGCCCTGGCAGCGCTGACCCGCTGGCTGCTGCAGCTCCCCTGGCAGTGGGCAGCACCATCGTCCAGGGAGCCTCAGAGCTCCGCTGCCAGAGTGGGGCGACTCCCTCGGAAGGCTCCACCCCATCCACAGAGCGGTGGTGGGGAACCGTGGGCAGCTCCCAGTCATGCCGGGCCCCACCCCCACCCTAAAGCTCAGTCCCAGAGTCCAGAGAGCCTGTCTGGGACTAGGGTCAACTAGGCAGCCTCAGGGCGCCAGGCGGGCAGCTGCCCAGGGCGCCGCGAGCCGCAGAGAAAGGACCTCTGGCCCTGCAAGGAGCGCTCCCGGGCCTGCGCCCCGTTCTCGCGTGCACAGATAAATCAGTCTTCAAAATACCAAGAGCTGGGGCAGCCGTGAAGGGGACAAGAGCAGGGCGCTGGTATGGGGGCGGCCAGGGACCCGGGCCTGTGTCCTTGCCTTTCAGGGCGGTGGGCACCAGGCCCTGGGGCCCCGGAGGCTTCTCCCACCAAGCAGGCCCTGGGCCGGGAGTGTGAAGAGGGAAAGGACAGGCCGGGTGACCCGGGGCCTGCAGGCAGGGCCGATGGGGGCAGGAGCGCGAGGCTCCGCAGCGCCCCAAGTGGCCCCGCGGTCACAGAGGCACTGCCCAGGGGCAGTGAGTGGGCCCCACCTGCATCTCAGTCTCCGGCAGCAGGGCACAGCAGCCAAGGGCAGGCACGCCCTCGGTGTCCACCCCCAGATGAACAGGTACACAGTGTCCCCCACATGTGGGAAGTCACGTGGCCACAAGAAGGGGGGCAGCTCTGACACAGGGAGGGGCCTTGAACACGCGCTCAGGGACGGAGGCTGACAGGTGAGCCCCTGCTGGACCCGCGCGGGCGGGGCTGCGCTGACCGCGGAGCATCGCTTCACCAGCCGCGGCTTACGTCAAAGGTTCCTTCTGGGTTCAGGTTTTCAAATGAGTCACGGCGAAGAGAAAGATTAGGGAATGAGTGGTCAGGCCAGAGGAGGGTGGGGAGGGACCCGGACCCGGAAGTCCCGGCCGGGCGCCTGCCGCCGCCAGCCCCTCCGGCCTCGGCAGCCCACGGGCAGAGCTCCGGCTGGCGTCCACCGCGCCGCTGGACTTCCCAGGCCGGGGCTCAGACTCCCAGCTCAGCCGAAGCAGCTGCCTCCGCCCCACTCCAGACCCCACAGGGCCCTCTGCGGGACTTCGCTCGCCTCTTTGCCATGGTGCCCCGAACCGCTCACTGCCCCAAGCTCCTGCCCACGTGCTGTCCCGCCGAACAGTGGGGCTGGTGTCTCACAAGACCCCCACGCTCCCCGGCTGAGCTCCAGGCCCAGCAGTACCCCAAGGTGGGAACCCCCGTGGGCCCCAGGCTCCTGGCCTGGCACTTCTCCCAGGGGGGCCTGGGAAGAGGACCCAGTCCTGCCCTTGGGACCCAAGGCCCAAGGTCAAACTTCTCCAGACTGGAGCTCTGCGTCCTAAGTGTGGAAGGGACCCCGGCACACACCTGGGGAGAAAATGGGGCTGCTCTGACCTCGCCCTGCCCTGGGGCCCCTGAGTTGGTCCAACCTGAGTGAGGCCAACATGCTGGCCTCTCCTGACCCCCTTCTCACCTGTGGGGCCCCCAGACTAGCCACAACCTTGATGTAGGCACTGACACCCACAAGGAGGCAGAAGGACCTGCCCTGGAGCTGCCAGGCGCAGCACAGCCCGCGGACACCTGAACTCAGACTCTGGGCAGAACTGGGAGCTGCTGGGCCCATGGTTCAGCCGGACACTTGGGCGAGAGGGAGAGTAGATGGCAGCAGGAGCCGCCCAGACACTCCTCCCCGAGAGGCAGGAACCACACCGAGTGCGGCTGGCACCGAGTCCACGGAGCCCCCGAGGGCATCTGAAACTGGCAGCTCGGGGATGCCAGGGCAGGGCAGAGGCCCGGCACCCTGCACACACACTGGCAGGGTGGCAGCAGGGCAGCCTGCGTGCACCACTGGAGAAGGTGGGAGGCCAGAACCTGGGGTTCCAGGTGTGTACCCCTGGGGGACCCCAACCCTAGAGCACACCATCTCACTGCACGTGGAGGGCTCACTGATGAAGCGCCCCTAGAGAATACCTCCTGCCCTGCTCCTGCTCTGCTGTGGAGCCAGAGTCGGGGTGTCCCAGGGGCTGCTCAGCTGATACCTGCCTTGCACAATCAGCAAATGAACTATATACAGGGGGCCTCCCTGGTGGCTAGGGGTTCAGTCTCAGCATTATCACCACTCTGGCCTGGGTTCGATCCCTGGCCAGGGAGTGACCCCCAGGGCGCGGCAGCCCTCACCTGGTGTCTCCCTGCTCCCCTAAGCAGGGGACTTCAGTGCACCTGCTTATTCTGCTCTCTAGTCTGTCTCTGACAAAACCTCTCACCACCACCCCTGCACCTCTGGGCTACACCCCAGTTCTTCTATGCAAAAAGAAATAAATCTTAAAAAAAGCAAAGGTCTACAGAGGGGCCCCTGGGGGGAGAATGGCCACACACCCTAACACCTTTACCCGGTCTCCTCCCTGCCACGCGACGCGAGCTGGACCACATGGTAGCTGGCACCCAGGGATGGTGCTGTGACCCTGGAAGCTGAGTGCAGGGCACCAGCCCCGACAGACAGAGCGTGCAACAGCCTCAGCACTCCCCAGACACCTCCGGCCAGCCTGGGAGGACGGCCACAGCAGGGGAAGTGGACCTGGTCCTAGATGGAAGAGGAAAGGCCAGCAGCAACTGGTGACGCCAACCTCACCCAGAACAGGAGCCCCCGGGCTGGGTTCCAGAGCAGCCATTTGGGGATGCCTGCGGCCGGCTGCCGGGCTCTCTGCTAATGCATCGCCAGCCACAGGTCCACAGACCTGTCTGCTCGTCAGGACAGACCAGTCAGTCTGCATGGCCGTGAGGACCCTGGACGGGGCACGGAGCGAGGACACTCGAGCAGGCGCAGGTGAGGCGGGCGCGTCCCACAGCCACTGCAGACGGGCAGACAAACTGCGCCTGCGCCGCCCAGGACACAGAGCCCTGCAGCCCGCAAGTGAGCGGCCCTCAGGCGCAGGCGGGGGGGCGGGGGGGGACACGACACTCCTGGGCACAGTTCAGTGTCACTCGGAGAGAGAAAATGGACCGTCAAGGAGGTGACACCAGTCCACAGGCCACTGGCGCGGGGGCGCAGACAGGTGTGGGACGGCGCCCCGCGGTGGCTGGGCAGCTTCCCTGCCAACTTCCTCTTCCCCTTCTGGGAAATGCCTTCCCAGGTCTTTGGCGGTTGCAAAGGGCTGGGAAAGTCTTCTGCTTAGTCAGCCTTTTCAAGGTTTCGCTACAC